GGGCCTGGGCGCTGTCCCTGAGCTTCTGTGCTTAGAGCACTTGAGCCACAGCTCCACTTCTAGCTTTTTGCTGGTTCATTGGAGATCAGAGTCCCACGGGCTGTCCTGCCCGGGCTGGCTTTGAACCGGGATCCTCGGATCTCAGCCTCCTGAGTCGCTGGGATGAAGGTGGGAGCCACAGCGCCCGGCTGAGAGGTGAGTTTCTCACAGTGGACCGTGATGATCGTAACGAGCAAGGCTTGTGTCCACAGCTCCCGCCTGCGACCCCCCATCCACCCAGCTGGGCTGGGCGAGTAGACCGGTGTCACCAGGCCTCAGAACATGGGGACACCTGGCAGCCAACAGGGGTGTCTGGAAATGGGCTCTGGTCTCCTGGAGCGAAGAAGAAATGGTAATGTCTCTTACACGGCCTGGCGTGCGTCTGGAAATGGGGAGTCGACGCAAGGGAATGTTTTAAGTGGGGAAGGAAAGATAAATTGCACACGTAACATACAAACACACCCCGGCGGCTCAGACACAGAACCCCTGGGCAAGGGGTTCAAAAGTATGGCTCTGTCACCCCTCCACGTGATCCCTCCACCGTAACAACCTGAAAATCAACATAAGGGAAGATGTCTTCCTTTTCTGTGATAGTAAGCTTGTGTGTATGTGTCTGTCTGTCTGTCTGTCTGTGCACCCTCAGTGAGACTCGAACTCAGAGTCTGGCTTTCTTGCTTAGCTTTTTTCACTCCAGACTGGCGCGCTACCACTTGAGCCGCACCTCCGTTCCCAGCTTTTGCTGCGTCACTGGGGATCAGAGAGGTTATGCCATTCTGGGCTGGCTTTGAACCATGATCCTCAGATCTCAGCCTCCCGGGGAGCTTGGATGGCCGAGTGTGAGCCGCTAGAGCCTGGGCGATTTTCCACTTAAAAAACGAATATAAAGGAAGTAAGTTACACCCGTGTTCCTTCCTGTATTAAAGAGCCTACCGCGTTCTGGCTAGAGTAAGAGACCAGACTTTATATTTCACACGAGGTTGGCTTCCATTTGGGTGTTTTTGGTGTTGGGTTTATGGGTTTCGGTGCAGGTGTTGTGTCCTGCAGGATTTTATCGCCAGAAGCTTCCAGAAGGTGGTTGAGCGCTCGCACTTCCGGGTGGACCTGACCCAGGATGGGCTCTGCAGATCTTGGCTTTGGCAAGCTGGTTCTCCTCCCCACGGCCTGTAAGTCTCAGAAGGAGGGTTGTTGTTTTTTTTTTTTGGAGGGGTGGGGAGAGTCGGTCTTGGGTCTTGAACTTAGGGCCTGGGCGCTGTCCCTGAGCTCATTCACTCGAGGCGAGCGCTCTACCACTTGAGCCACCACGCCGCTTCTGGATTTCTGCAGATAAGCGTCTCAGGGGTTTTCCTGCTCAGGCTGGCTTTGAACCGCGATCCTCGGCTCTCAGCCCCCTGCGTAGCTGGGATTTCAGGGGTGAGCACCAGCCCCCAACTCTAGCGATTTTGTACTCAACTTTGCAGGCAGAATTGAAGAGTCAAGAGTTGAAGATGAGAATCAAGATCAGAATCAAACGGACCAGTTTGATAATGGAGCCTAAATGTCAGCGGCTCTAGGTATACCAAGCTTCCTCCCATCCCAAATTACTTGTCTTTTTAACTGAGAGAATAATTGTTCCTCAGGGAAGACAATTAAGCTACCACAGGAGGGTGCCACGTGAAAACAAACTAAAGCAAATCAAACCCTGGGCACCAGTGGCTCACGCTGATCATCCCAGCGACTCTGGAGGACCACGGTTTAAAGCTACTCCAGGCAGACCAGGAACCAGCAAAACTCCAGAAGCAGGGGTGTGGCTCAAGTGGTAGAGCACCAAGCCTTGAGTGCAAAAAGCCAAGTCAACGTGTAAGACCCTGAGTTCAAGCCCCAGGGCTGGTATAAAAATAGAAAGATGAAGCCAGGCACCAGTGACTCACGCCTGTCATCCTAGCTACGCAGGAGGCTGAGATCTGAGGATCACGGTTCAAAGCCGGCCCAGGCAGGAAAGTCTACTCAAGGGATAGGTGTTTGCCTCCCAAATTTAGGGTCCTGAGTTCACTTCCCAGTGTCACCTAAAACAAAAAGAAAGAAGATAGAAAGATGATCAATGCTAGATAGGTTAACTAGATAGATAGTTGATAGATGGCCGGTTGATGGCTAGAGACTGATGATACACAGATGATAGATTGCTGGAAGATGGAGGATTAGATGGTGAGTGGATCATGGCTACACACACGCACACACAAGCAGCTAATCCAGCCCCATCTCTGAGGAGTCACCTTGAAGAATGCCGGTCCACCCGCACATCTAACCTTGGGTGTGCTTGCTTTTCCAGCTTGGGGGGAGACAGGTTCCAGTCTTCCCAAGTCTGCAGGTACCTCAACCACCGTCACCTTTCTTCGGCCAACTGCAGCAACTACAAACATTTCATCTGGGGGAAAAGCATCCTGCTCTCCTGTGTGTGAGCACCGTCCCTCAGGACCAGCGGAAGGAGCACCCCAACACTCCAGCCCGGGACCCCAGTCCCTTCTGGGTCCTCTGACAGACTTTCACGCGCCCGGGTTGCGTGGATTTCCCTCGACACGGTGCGAACGGTCCAGAGTCAGACTGAGTTGGTGTG